CATTTATGAAAATATTTTGAAAACTGTATAAAATAACTTTAATAAAAGTAATTAATGAAAGGCTCGTATAAATTAACGAAATTAAAAGAAATAAATATTGTAGGCCAACTAAACGCGAGCAAAATTACATAAGATCTAAAGATTTATTAATAATTAAATTCTCATTCTATTAGAGAAACAATGGAATGAGAATTTAATTATTAATAAATCTTTAGATCTTATGTAATTTTGCTCGTTTAGTCGGCCTACAATATTTATTTCTTTTAATTTTAATAAATATATTTTAATACATTTTTGAAAAATAGAATGATCTAAAAAAAGATAAATTTGAAGAATTTCAAATGTAACTAAAATATGTTTATAAATATCAGGTAAGCCGATAAATAAATTTTCGTTAGATCTCGGAGATAGATGTCGCCATTGATAGCGTGTATATTATTCCCCTTGATCTGATGGATAGTTTCAACAAGGATGCGGCGTGTTACCGATTATGAGGGTTGTTCATTCAGAAAAAGGATCTTGTCTGGCACTTCCTTCTTTATGTGGGACGGTTTTGGTAAAATTCAAGCGACGTGGAAAAATATCTCGTGGGCCTCATTTTTGGAGGTGTGAGGTTACAAAAAGAAAAAGAGCGGCACGTTTTCTATGAAACAGAACATTTTGCGTGACCCCATGCCGAGAAGATCCTCCGATTATTTGTCCTGTGGACAGACGACATCAGGTCGTTATTCACCCGATTTTCAGTCCCTTCTTATTCCGATGCAGGAAAACCTTCTTTCATCTAATAGATAGCTTCGCCGATATACATACTTTCGCGTATTTTCGAAAAAAATCCCCAACTTTTCTGAATTTATTTTGGAAGATCAAAACCGTCGAACAGGATTTTATAACAATTTGATTTTTTATTATTATGCATGTTCACGTGTTTTTTTTTCAACACGCTATTATTGCTAACTACCCATATAACATTAAACATTCTACGTATTTTTCTCCCTCATAATATGAAAATAATACCTTGTAGCTAGAATGTTTATATACTATACATCTAATATATACAGGGTGATTTTTTAAATAAATGTAAAATATTTTAGCAGATTATTTAATTAAATTATGGAAAGTCGAGTTAAAAAAATAAAATTTGATGGATATTTTCTACTAATAAAAAGGATATCTATTAATATTTTGTCAATCTTCCTATATTATAAGAAGATGAAGCTAACAACCCATATTCAATTTTTTATTAGAACTTTTGAACCGGAATGTGATCTCTAAAAATATGCGTTAGGAAGTTTGATTTCTTTAAAAATTTTTTCATTTCTTTTATTTTTTTATAAAATCAATAGTTAAAAAATAAAAGTATCTAATTTTTCCTTCTTTCTTTTAGAGAAATCTAACGTCTCAAGAAGAGATAGAAGAATACATGTTTATATGAAAACCCCCTTTAATTTTCGACGAAGAATCACCTCATTAATATTCACACATTGATGTAGTTTATAAATGCATCAATATAAATTTTTATTACAAAATAATAACTATAATGATTGTTCTTTTCTAAGGGGAGAAGAAAAAGGGAGCGAAATGTGTGAAATTTTATCAAAATTTCTATCGCAACACATCCTCGAAACAGGACCGCTATTGTAAAGATATTCCGTGCTACAATTTTTGGTTCCATCCGCAGAATAGCGCGGCACGATCATAGATATTCACAGCTCCAAATCTGTGCTACGAATTGTTAGCACATGTCCGATGTTCGTCGGTGTGATGAAAGCAAAAACCTCCCCGTTGGGATCGTTAAAGACAGTGACGAATCAATCTCTGTCCTATACATACACATATATCAACATCTCAATTTTCTTGACAAATGCCGAAATCGCAGTCGGGAAAACTTACCGCGTAATTGGAGCATCTTATAAAAAAAAGTGCAATTTTGTTAAATTTATAATAATATTAAACTCATTCTCTATTGGAATAATACGTTATAACACACATTTCTCTCTTACTTTGTGCTAGAATTGTTCTCGTCGCTTGTCAGCATAGATTTACATTTTTTTTTTCAGTTTAAAAAAAGTATTACCATAAAGTGTCCATTCTTGAAAAATGTGAAATTAAAAATTACATTAAATTAATTTAATTTAATTTAATTGTAGCAAAATGGATTACAATCTTTCCCATGACGCTTCAGCTTTGTACGGTTTACGCAACAGTTACACTTTCTCATTTATTATCAAATATGTACGTTTTGTTAACAGCAACTTTTTTTATACAAATAATCTGGCATCCTTCGCGAAAAATCGCATCATAGGCATAGATGACAGATCCTAATCTGTCGTGTAAGCCAGCGAGTTCTATTGTGCACAATGCTTGGTTCGTGCCCGTCTTCGAAAAACTCACCTTAATGGTCCCCCGGTAGCAAAATAGCCATTATGATCATCGAGGAATCGTGCTACCTTGATTCCTTTTCATCGTTCCTTTTTTTCTTTTTGGCAACTGTCCTATTTTCTATTGGGTCATTGTACGCTATTACGAGTTTCTCGACTGCACTACCTGGATGAACGTGTTGCGAGACATGATACTGTGGAAGGAAACATATTAATTTTAGTTCACGTTCAATTCTCATAGTAAGATTTATTGTTATGTAGATCAATTTTTTTTTATATATATATCGCGTGAGTGCAAAAGTTTCGGGATAAAAAATAGATCGAGTAATTTTATTAAAAAACGATCTGTTCACGTTTAACCTCTCGGCAACTTCTTGTGTTGTAATTCGTTAATTGGTGTCCAGTAAATTGCGCATAATGTCATTAATACTGGAAAATCAAATCATGGCTAATTAAATAATAATAGCGGCATTAAACAAGAGGATAATTGTAGCATTAAAAAGAATTGATAATAAAATTAACTTTCTGTAAAATATTTCACGAAAAGACATATGTAAAATAGTTGATGCAAATGTATGCATGCAAAAAATATGAAAAATAGAGATCCTTACAGAGTAAAGATCAAGATAAAGATGAAGTAGAGGCTTATAGAAGAATACAAAGATGAAGATCAAATATGAATCGGGAGGAAAAAGCTTGGACCTTAGGAATGAAAAGGAAGAGCTTCTAAAGTGTCAAAGTGTAATGAATTTTTTGGTTTATCCGGTGATTTTGAAGAAGGCCGCAGATAATCTCTATGCGGATAATCTCTAGGATCTTTGTGAATTTTTAATGCTTTCATAATCAATGAACAGCTCAGTGAAAAAATGTTTCTCATCACTTAAAACGTACTTTATGGATTATTTACCTGTAGAATATCAACGTGTATATCCACCTGTATGATATTTATTGATTTTTATGGTCACGCACATAGTTACATTTACGACCAGCAGATGGTGTAAATCTACAGGCTAAATTCTACTGCAAATACATTTGAATATAAGCTTGATGAATTAAAAAAAAATGCCTACCTCGATATTATTAAGCAATCATAATATCGACTTAATTTATTTGTTTCCGCCAAAATTTGTTTTTATATAATATTTTATTAAAAATCAATTCATCGAGATTATGCAGTATTTATAAATAAAAATATATAATATTATTTTTAATATAGAATTTTTTTTATACCAAACATTTATTAAATAAAGAACATAATCATAAAGAGCATATATAATAGATTAATATATTATTATAATTAATAATAATTAATACAAATTATAAAATTATAATTAGTTATTCAATTTATAATAATATATAATAAATAATAGCTTAAGTTTGATGAAATTTAATAGAAATAAATTTACAAGTTTCTTTAAATATAAAATTCAAAAGATTTATTTATAATTTTATATTATTTCAATATATGCATATATATATTTGTATATGTATGTATTTAATTTCTTTAAATTTCTTATGTTTATATTTAATTTCTTTAAATTAAATTTCTGTATTTAATTTCTTTAAACGTTTTTTATTATATAACAAATAAAGGTACAAATATAATTATATATCAAATTTTGTCGAAAAAATATAGACCGTCTAATTGCGTGCATAAAGATTAAATAAAATAATAAAAATACATTGAAATAATATATAATAATGCAAAATTATTTAGGTATATATATATATATATACCAGTTTACTGTTTAAAATTCAAATGATAATATTATATACGAATATTCTACAGCTATACTTATCATCTTTATCTTTCGCAATCTGCCTATTTAACAAAATTTTTACCTCGTTCGATAGGAGAAGAAGACAAGACTTCTAAATTATCTCGTTTGATGGATACAATGGCTCTTATGGTCGAAATATTTTCGTAAATGCCAGGGACAACAAAGTCCGTGGGGTGAGAAGTGCAAAATGTGTTTACCGCATGAGACAAGGGTGACGAGGAGAATGTCCGTAGCTTCGCGTCGGCAAATGGGGTGTCCTGGAACGGCGCCGACGCATCGGGGGTGGAACGCATGGTCGGTCAAGCGTCGCGGGTAGACGGGGGTGGAAAGAGGGAGGGTGGTAGAGGCTAGACAATTGAAAAAAATCACTTGTCTCGCCCTGAAAGTAGGGACACGTTTCTCCTCGTGGATGCTGAAAGTCACCGGGACAGACGCGACTAGAGGGCTGACAGTCCGATTAAACGCAATGTTCCAAATCGGAAGCTGCGGATGTGCACGTGCGTCGATATTGAGTCGCACTTAGAAAATAATTTGCGTGACTTCAATAAATAGGGATGGGATCGAGAATTCAATGATGCACTTGAAAATCCGAGACGAATCCAATAATCAGGATTCTAGGATTCAAATAATATTCTTAAGAAACGATATTTCTTGTGTTGTAATTTTGCAAAGTAATCGAACCTAGAACAGTTGAATGTACTTGAATAAGTACTGTTTTTTATTTTCTAGGTGCTTATAAAGAGTTCAAACTATAGAGACAAATTTATTTCTACTTGCAAGACACTAAAAACCCTATATTTTTTATTACATGTCATATGCGACTATTATGCGTTTTTTTCAGATTTGCATAGCCGGCAGCGGAGTAAGAGGCTGGTTAGACGCATCCCATGAGACGAACAATTGGCTGAAATACATTCGAAGTACTGCTAGTCCGCACGCAGTAAACATGCGTCACGTGCTCATCGGCGGTCAAGTAAGAAAAATTTACTAATCGAACGATGTAGTCTATTCTTATTTTCAGAATTTATTCTATTCACTTATTTTTAGAATACTCTCTGTTTTAAAATTGGCGCTAAAAAGTTTCTGTTACTTTAAAAGGGGAATTCCCTGAAGATTAGGATTAGATATTCCTAATTTTTAAAAATGTAGATAAAATTAAGATTTATTTTTATATTAACAAGAAGATATATTATTGCATATAATAGTATATCTACGTTCCGCATGCAGAATTAATACAGTTAATTTACAATTAACTTGACACGTATCTTTGAAAGATTAAAGAATTAAAATGTCGAGAATATCAAATTTGCAAATTTATGACACTTTGTTGCGACGCAAGAAGCGAAATTTTATTTTAAAAATTTAAATAATTTTTTTATTAATTTTTTATCTTCCTCACGTTATGAGCAAAATGATTTTTTTTTAAACATTGGCAATTATTCTCTGACTCACGCATCCTCTATTTAGCGAGCATTTATACGCAACTGACACTCGATCGACAGTTGCAGTTAATAGGAAACAGTAATTATTCGGCGTCAAGTAGAATTCCAATTTATTCCACATATGTTATACCGATTGTTGAAAAGTTTATTAGTGCACATCGCTCTTATTATATCGTATTATTTTCCGCATATTTCATCATCCATTAAACTACTTAACCATAATATACGATCTTATTAAAGCGTTAGAATTTCGGTAAAAACACAACACACATTTATCGCGCACTAAAAAAAGGAATATATTTTTAATCCAGTTTCTAATAAAATAGATAAAAAAATTACGCACTAAAAAAAGAAATATATTTTAATTTATTTTCTAATAAAATAGATAAAAAAAAATTACGCTTATAAAATACATAGGATCTGTTTTATCAGATTAGCCCTTGCGCAAGTTTGTAACAAATATTCCAGTTTTAAGAGACATTACGAAACAGATTTTCGGTCAAATCACCCTCGAAGGACTATCCTCACGTATGATTGGCCGTCGAATAGACGTTATAAGCGGAAACGATGGAGGTCACGGTGTCAATTTAGGGTCGAGCTCGCTTCTGTCCGTTTGACTCTTTTTCTCTCTTTCCAACCTTCCCTTGTGAACCGTGGCACATGGTATCCGCGATGTTGTGGGCGCGCCGTAAGCTACATGTATACAGGGTGTTTAGTTATTAAGTCACCCCACGGGGTCGTTTCACTGACTTCCTATACGCCCTCTCGCAATCGCTGTGGGAATGGGGGAGAGAAGCTCCCTTTCTCTCTCTCACTTTCTCTATCAGTGCCCTGCAGAATCGCCGTTTGTAATGATGCTTTAGGGCCCCGTGACGACACTATAAAAATCGCTTTACGGCTTCCCGACGTTGGTGAACCTTCGTAGAATCTCATGTAGATTATACGCGGGTGAGATTTTTTTTTTTAATGAAATCAAAATGCGCTTTCTTCTTTTCTTTGTGAATATTTTTATAGATTTAATTCGGAAAATTTACTCTAGTGCACTGAAAAATTATATTCTTATTCTATTCACTTATTTTTAGAATACTCTTTGTTTTAAAATTGGCGCTAAAAGGAGAATCCTCTGAAGATTAGGATTAGATATTCCTAATTTAAAAAAATGTGGATAAAATAAGATTTATTTTTATATTAACAAGAAGATATATTATTGCTTATAATAGTATATCTACGTTCCGCATGCAGAATTAATACAGTTAATTTTTAACTTGACACGTATCTTTGAAAGATTAAAGAATTAAAAATTGATTAAATATTAATCTTGACAATCGCAGATGGTGTACGAAGCTGTTCGCGATATTGTAACGGGCGAAGAGCTTCTTCTAGGCCTTCGGGAACCACTTCAGCTGCAGGACATGCTGGGTGAGAATACAACCGAGGACAGAAGCGATCGAGAGACTGGTAAGTGTTTAATGATAATAATTCTTTAACAAGAATTTGCTTGTGTGAAAAGAATATTTAATTTTTTTTATGAGTTTTTTTTTATATATATAAGATTATAAGCATTTTAATTTATCTATTTGTCTACACTTACATAGTAATTTTATACTTTTACATCGCACGACACATACGTATATAATTGTAATTTTTTGCATAAGAAGAATGAAACAATTTAGTCTTAATAAATCTTTAGATATAGATATTTATTTTATATGATGTAAAATTAATTAAATATAATATCATATAAAATATATAAAAATTATATCAAATGGAATATTTTATATAATATAAAATTAAAAACAAACTAAATCAATGAATCAGATAAATCTGAAATAAAAATAAATAATGTAATATATTATTAAAAGTGATATATGAAAAAGGAGACATGAAAACTAGTTAAAAAATGCAAAATAAAATAATACTTAGATTGCCGGCCAGAGATATTATAGCGCAGAGAGCGAGAGAGAGAGAGAGAGAGAGAGAAAGTTGACGATTATTTTCGGCACGACTTTATGACTTTTTGTACTGCGATACACATCGCGCACGTTGGTGGCTCGTGCGATCACGAGTATGGACGCAAATGAAGGTGCAAGGGCAGGTGTTTTCCGAAACGACGAATCGGGGGCGGTCAGAGGGTAAATCGGGAATCGTTGTGTGCACGAGCTGCTCGTCATGCACCCTTGACTCTGGCGTGATTCACCTGGTCGGTCGTTGCGTATTAACCCCCGTTCGGTAATAAGCGCTGATTATCTGCAGATAGACGTGTCCGAGTCACATGTCGTTCTGTCCGCTTCTCCCTCATCCCTTCCCGGTCGATTTTTACCCGGAACCATCTCGTCTCATTTATCGATATACGTGCAAAATGCTATACAATTTAAATGTAACATGTGTTTTTTATTTATTTATTTGATAGAAATATTGATATTTATGTACAAAGTATATATTTATAAAATTGCATTATACATTTACGTGTAAGATGTATATATCGGGAGGATACATATATCTATATCGCATTATTTAAAAAAAATTGAAATATACCAGATAACATATTTATAAATATATTTTTATTTTTTTTTTCACATTTTTAAAACAATTTTTAATCATTTCTTCGTATTTAGAAGAAAGAATTTTAAATATTTATAATTAATACACGCCATATATGTTACTTATATAAATATATTTAATATATTAATATACATATATGTTATAAATTGTACATAGGTATACATATATACGTATAAATATAATTTTTTGTATTATATTAAAATATATATTAGTCATATTATTGCCAATTGAATTATTTCTTAATACTTTATCTTTTTTAATACTGAAATCGATCTTATGGTAGAAAAATCTTTACTTAAAAAAATTTTAATATATTACTTTCAACAATTAAAACGCCCATTTTTAATCCGTCCGCTTAATTTAGCCAATCAATCGTTGGATTTCATTATGTGGACCATTGCGCCGTTAATATATTCGGGACGTTTACGAAGAAGGGTAGCGTCTACGTGCCTGACTGCTCGACAATTATCTGGTTGTAACTTCTGCGCGATGGTCAGAATCTGGATGATGACTTGGTAGGGCCTGAGGGTTATACGCGACATCCAGATGTCGCGGTAATTAAAACCGGGCTTATTGTCGAAGTTCTGCTGAGCTCGCAGAGTCTACGACTAATTTGCCAACAGTTTTTCGTCATAATTTCGAGACCTCGTTAAAGTCTCCTCGCGCCTCCCGGAAGATGCTCTAATATATTTAATATTAAATTTTCTATTGACAAAGTTAGTTGTTTACAAGGTTACTTATAAATGTGTTATTACGCACATTATATAACTCTATGATAGATTTATAATTAAAAGTTTTCTAAAAATCAAAGCTTTAATCTTTGAGAAAAATTAATCAAACTTTTCTGATAAATAAAGATAGCTAATAGTTTTAGTCAAATTGATTCAAACAAATAAAATGTATAATAATTTTTATAATATATCATAAAAAAATATATATATATAAATATATTTAATTTATAACAATAAATAATTATAAATATATTATTACTAACTTACATATATAATTTTTAGTGTTACTATGTATGTAATTTCTTTTTATACTTGACGAAATAAATTATAATTTTATTATGAGAAACAGTAATAAAAATTATGGCAAATTTTTATATACGAATTACTTAAGATTATTTTGCAAAAAAATTTGCTCTCAATATACATTTAATAAGAATCATGGTTAGAAGCAGGGTTCAAAAGAAGGGAGACACAATTTTATGGAATGACTTTAGTAGAATGCGAAAAGTTACTGCGGCAATTAAGTTGAGTCTACCAATAATGTTAATTGCTCTGAATTAATTTCGAGATTAAAAATCTCATTTGCGACAACAGGCAGATGAGGGTTATAGCGCAAAAAAAAGTTGCACGTGATTCTCTTCCATTTTATATCAATAATATAAATTGTAAAAGCTTGTTTCTTTTCTGGGTATTTACATAATTAGCTACATAATTATTTAATTAATTTTGACTTATAGAGAAAATCGGATGCATTAAAATTAATTTTGTTATATATAAATATATATAATATTAATACACATTTTCTTCAGTCGATTCACAATAGATTAATATTTTCTAATAAAGAAATTATAAATGAGTCTGCTAGTAATATCTTTGGTATAGTGGTACTATGTTATTTCAGTAAAATTATTTTTACGAGAAAATCTCCGACAAGCTGGTGCAACGAGGCAAGCAAATGCATATCCGAGTTTCTCTCAGATATTAATGTTTATAACCATTTAGACAACTAATTACATCATAAAGATGTCTGATCTTACATGTATCTACATTTACATCAATTACACCATGACTTTCCAGCAATTCTTTAGGACCTACATGAATCGAATTGGAAATTGTAAAATGGTAGATGCAATTATTGCAGACAATTACGATGAATTATGAGCGTGATTTTTGTGATACTTGTTTTTTCTATCGCCGTTTCTCTTCTTTTTTTTTACATCTGTACCGTATTTGGTCTGTTTTCTGATAGCTCTATTAGGGTAGCGGATAATTTATAGCTAACTATTGTCGATTAACACGCGCGTAACCAGGTCCCAGGGACGATTGAAAAAAAAGGGCACGGGTTAGAATGAGAAAAAAGGGGTATCCGCGTACAAAAGGGCACGCGACACTCTTTTCTGAGGGGGTGGCGAGGTAGGGAGATGCGTGTGACATGTTACAACCCCATCTGATTCATCGAACTAACGACACATTTATTTGACATTTGATTCGAAATCGCTACGGTCGCGTGCGACAAATTTTTACAGAAAGATGCTGGCAGATATCGATTTTCCGTTTGTTTCGTAAAAAGAGAAATCTCATTCTTTAAACATTTTTTTATACGATATTGAACAAATATTAAACAAATGCCCGTAAAAATTGATTGACATATTTAATATAAAATGAAGAACTTCTGTGTGAAAAAAACATAATTTATTTCTTAAATATATATACTATATATTGTACAGGATATTTCCTAAATTAGAAATGCTTTAAATTATGTGCGTTCCTTCTAAAATATACGACTTTAAAATCATGTTTTGTAAAAATAAAATTTTTAGAAATGAGAATTTAGTCTTAAAGATCTCTTACATATATGTAATCTTGAAGTATATTTTCAAATTCTTCAATAATTAAAAAAAATTATTATTAATTAAGTAAAACAAATTTAGATATATTCTTGATGTATTTACGTCTTATAATATTTAATACGATAATTTACCGGAAGGAAAATATTCCATTTTTTCTTATTATTATATGAAAAACGTCATCGTTTCTGTAATAATAATCGAATCAACTGTTTCTCACCGGGCGGAAATGTGCTAATCGGGGAAGAATGAAGATAGAAAAACGCAATAAACACGAACAGATGAATAATATAAATAAATTTATTTCTATTAATAATATTTTAATAATTTCCCTTTTTGAATCGTTGATGCGTCCCAATGCGACAAAAACATTGATTTCCGTTACTTTTTCCCATACAACTGCCAACTGACTATTCGACTGTGGGAGGGTGTTGCCACCTGTTGACTTTCCGCAATGTGACTTTGTTCCTACTCCTTCTATACGAGTAGATTAACATAATGCTTTCAACCGTTCTCATTAATCTTAAGGAACGATCGCATAAAAAATATGCAGCGTGCTTAATTAATAAATTATGAACTTTTTTTGGCAAACTTATGCGAAAAATATTTCTCGTTATATAGAGTATCAGTGCGAGAAATGTATTATTATAATTTGAAGTTTTTTTTTATTTATAATCTACTTTTTTATTTAATTTGTAACTACAATTTTCTACTCATTTTATTATCATTTTATTTATATATATTATTATCCAGCAATTTTGCAAAGAATTCACACAGAAAGATTATTTATAAAATTCACTTTTATTTAAATATACTTGGATCATCAGCTATTTTTTTATTACATCTGAAAACAATTTATAGTTTTTATTAATTAATTATAGGTGTCATTACTAATTAATATTAAAATTTAAAAAAATGCTCGTTTCTTATTGCTGCCGTTTTTTGAATACTGCATTCGAGCGAGACCGTTTCGAGGGTGAACTCGAAGTCAGCCGCATCCTTCATTGTCTAAATTCACGGTATGCCGCTACGAATTAGTGGAGAGAGCAACGATTAACGTACTAAAGGGCCAGAGGGAGAGATGGTAGCGTGGCGTTGGGCGTACTTGGTGGTACGGGGATTGTACTCGGTTCCCATGAAAAGGTCCGTTGGGGGCCATCACTAGACCATATGGTGAAAACAAGTGTAGCGGCAGATTTAAATAACCGTTGGAGGTTGTATATCGTTCAAACTCAAGCTAAATCATACTCGTCTAAGCTTAGACTTATATGTACGTGCGGACAAAAATGATTAAAAAAATTGTTCCAACTATCTTTCACTACAATTTGCTCCTCTCGATTTGTTTGCCTCTTTCTACTAGATTTGTGAAATATTTGCATAAAAATAGACGAAAAATTAATTTTAACAATAGGGACAGTTGATCGATCAGAGTTAGTCTTCACTAGTACGTATTTGCTCTCTGAGATACTCTCTTTGATGCTAGTTGCGTGTTCAATCGTTGATCATAATTGTACCTTGTCTCCTTCATGGGCTTCTGATTTTACCTGCCGTTGCGGGTATATTCTGATATTTGGAAGCGAAACGCTGCGGGGGGCTGTCGAGACTCACTTACGATTGGCTGGTCGCTTGTGACCAATAGCAAGCGATTCTGAACACCCCCGCTTGCATTTGCAGTCACTGGTCAGTGTACCGTCAACTAACTGGAGCATCATTGTGTCTATTGTCTTCGCGATCGCTTGTGTGTCGGATCGTATTTATTAAAAGAAAAAGAAAAGATAAAATTGGCAGAGAGTTTCAGTGAAATAACTCGAATTCCACTCGAATGTGACCTACAGCGTTTTATAAGCGTGCAATCGTGTTACAAATGTAGCAGATGATCAATATTTGAAAGAGGGATTATTAACTAGACGGTAAATATTTTATAAAATGACGACGCAAATAATTATGCACGTATCCATTTAATAAATTAATGTATGCGTGCACATTTAATAAAATATTTATATATATATATATAATTTTTATTAATAATAATTAATTATTTTGCTACAATATTTATTTTCTAATCGTATCACCGCATAAATTATATATTATCAAAATATTTAATCACCAAAGTTTTCTGGAATAAAAATTGTTATTTTTACTTAATTTATTATAATATATTTATTATAATTGCATACATGCTTAAATTAATTTTGTGTATAAATAATTAATGAAAATGTCTGATTTAACACCAGTAGAAATTTGAATGCGCGAACAATTTGACAACACGACGAGAAGCGCGACATAATTACGAGAATGTGTAGTGTGATTAAAAGTCGATGATTTAACGCCACGAAATTCCTCGAAAATTGTTTCCCGCCAATTCTACGAAGTTAGTTAAATCATCGTTGAATCCCATAGGAGTGCTGAAGTTTTGTAGATCAGACGATACACACACACACTGCGCTACTTTAATTTAATAATTCAAAATCAATCCACGAGTGTCCACTTGTCACGCCACGCTTTTGTAACCCTCGCGCGGTTCTGGATCACGTAATTTGCTCACCGCGACGAGTAACGTATCATCGTTCGTAGGGGATTGTAATTTATAGAGCTATTGACCATTTGCACACATTTATATAGCGATAAAATTGCGACTTTCATTGTAATATACCGAGAACACTTTTATAATCTTTGTTATATTCGTCATTTACAGCTTCACAGCACAGTGGAACTGTCGACGAGGACAAGGAGGACGAAGAAGAAGGAGAAACAAGATGCACCGTCTGTGACAAACCGTTTCAAGATATCGAGCTGTAAGTTCCCATTGCATTATGATGATTTCATTTGTTTAATATCAGAAAATAAAGCAAAGAAATAATTTTCTGCTTATATCTTCCACAAGTTCTAAATTCAATGCTAGATCAATGATAGAACAGGCTCCTCATTTTTGTTGAATCGTACGTATCTTGTAAAAAATGTTATTTTATTCACATAGAAAATATCTTTATATTTCCACGCCGTCAACGTTGGCGCGACGATACACAGTAAGCTAAACTCATGAAGGATTCATGGAGCATCATTACAGGCTTTTGAAATCAGATGAACGACGATTACATGCTCAGTTACCTCCCACCGGATCGAATCGAGAGACAACTCCGCTTTTATTATCGATCAACGTTAAAGCGTTTCGTCGCGTCCGTCGATTTTTTTACTCCGTCAATTATTAATTAATCGATGGAAATCCCGGGGGTAAGTGCCATGCGTAATCGCCTTCAAATCTCGGTGGCTATACAATACGTGCTCGCAAAAAAGCTTTTTGTCACGCAAGCGAGCGCTTTTCAAGAACGTTCTCTTCCTCCCCGGCGACTTCTTCTTCGAAACGAACAAGGAGTTCGTTGCGATTGAGCAACGTGCTTAGTCAGCATTCGTTCTGTCGCCGTGTCATTGCCTTTAATTAGAGAGTAATTAATATGAAATTAGAGAGGTGAGAGTATATGAAATATGACAACAATTTAAATCCAATATTGCTCTATAAATTACTTAAGAAGTACAGTTATTTCTTTTCTCTGTTGCTCTCTGTATGATTTAACAATGTACAAAAAATGCAACTTTGCTGCTAAATATCACTTTAAATGCAAATTCCATCAGGCATTGTGCAATCGATGAGAGAGCGCAATTTTCTAGTTCCTTAGAAATATATTAATCTTTATTTATCCGTTATCATTAAATGCAAAGTTAAAAATATTAATTGTATACCTGATTGGTTGATGGACTTTTACTACTACTAATACATTAACTATTGTAATTGATTTTATTTCAAGAATGCGTTATTATTTAAAACAATACCATCTTCTCTTGATGAACTCTTCCTCATTTCTTGTATTAACTTCTACCTCTTTAATCAATCACATTTGACTTGTTAAGTACGTATTACTGAAGGTATCTAAGCTTTGAAAATTGATGATCGACTCTCATAGTCTTTTCCACACCGACGATACAATCTCTGTGCTCTCTCAACCGACATTAAGCCACTAAGTTTCTCGACGCGGCAGATTCACCTGTTGTGGGGCGTTAAACCCTACGCCGGGATCGCTAAAGCGGCCACCCCCTTATACATCATCGAAGGCGTCGCGTGCCCGCAGCTCATCTGGCACGGCATGAAGTCACCATGAAGGCACTATCTCACCGCGAATAGGTTTCACACGACGCGTGTGTCCGGGGGTGTAAAATCAATGTTGCCGCACACCACGGCGCTCTCCCGTGTGACGATAACCCATGCCTACCCCGTGACAACCACTCTTTCTCCCTCCCTCTCCCTCCCCTAACGATGGCTTTTCTTCGTGACGGCGTGCGTTCGTGCGCGACGGCCGCCCTCTTCTTCAGGGGCGTGCGACCGTTATTACACGAGAGTCGAGACTCGCCACTCGCCGTAGAGTCACTTAGTCATCATCCGGGATTGCGCCTGGTCTTTATCAGCGCAAGTCAGTTACCGTGGCAAGCATCCTGCTTGCTCGCGCTGGTGTGCTGATTAAAGTTCTCGCGAGGTACATTAAGGAGAATAATTTTTCGCAAACATTTCTGCCCGCTAAAAGAGTCACTATCATTGATCTTGATGGAATATATATATCAAATTAGGAAAATTTTGTGGTACAAAACCAATTGTTATGAAACTTGATACAGACACAGTATGAGATAAAATATGAAGAAATATAATTGAAATTGAATGGACAAATAAACATCGATAATGACAAAAGAGACAGAAATGAATAAAACCCTGCCAATTACTAAGCGTTCATTTTATAAAATTGATTGTAAGATTGGATGAGTGGTGAATGGGCACTGCCGTCACATGACACATTAGACCCATTTTTTGATTTTTTACCAAGATCCACTCATGTAGCTATCCGATTTTGATTAGATTTCTTCATATTTTTTTATCTCATAGTCTGTGTAATGTTTCATGACGATTGGTTTTGTACTACAAAATTTTCCCAATTTGGTACACTTCTGTATCTACAATGAATTGTACCACTTATGCCATATTTAATGCGGATTGTGCGAATAATTAATTTTCAGATTGGATAGCCACCTGGTGACTTGTCACAGATACCCAGCGGAGCAGCACCGTTGCGACAGCTGTCCCCGTGCTTACGCCTGGCGGCCGCTTCTGGTACGGCATCGCGCTATCGTTCACGGTGATCTCCGAAATTATCCCTGCGAGAATTGTCCGAAGGTAAGTTTTAAATTCGCGCCTAATACTTCGAAATCAGACAATCCTTTCTCTAGTGGCATCTTCCAAATATCGCTAAAAGTCGAACATTCGGCAGGTCTTCACGGACCCGTCCAATCTACAGCGCCATATCAGAACGCATCACGTGGGTGCCAGGAGCCACGCTTGCACGGAGTGCGGCAAGACCTTCGCGACCAGTTCCGGCCTAAAGCAGCACACTCACATCCACAGCAGCGTGAAGCCGTTCCAGTGCGAGGTCTGTTTCAAGGCGTACACGCAGTTCTCGAATTTATGCCGGCACAAGCGCATGCACGCCGACTGTCGCATGCAAATCAAATGCGTTAAATGCGGACAGTCCTTCAGCACGGTGACGTCATTGTCAAAGCATAAGCGATTTTGCGATTCTACAACTCCGACCGGTCCGCCTGGAACTATGCCGCAGTTACCGCCGACGACGAGTCCCTTCCTGGTGTATCCACGAGCTCCCGTGAGTCTGCCAGGCGGTCTACCTTTCTACCCACCTAGTCTGATGGCTCCATATCCGGGAATCTTTCCGAACGCTCCGAATTTCCTGAATACACCTCTGCTCTTCCCGCCGAAGATCGAGGAACCTGAAAAAAGGAGCGAAAGCCCCAAGAAGGAACGATTCACTCCCCCGAGGGTACTGCCGCAACATAACAAGGTGTCTCCTTCCACGGCAGAGGAAGCCACATCTACCTTCAGACCGTCTCCGGCTAGACCTCCGGTTCAACCGACTCCGGAGAGCGATGACGATCTATCCAAGAGAAGAGAAGTAAGCAGAAGCAATGAGCGAAAAATGGAAAGCGAGAACGTGTCGAATGTCTCGAAAGAAGAAACGACGGAACAACCACTGGATTTAAGGGTGCAAACCAGGAAACAGGACGCCACCGCGAAAGCCGCGAACAGGAAGAGTCGCACACCATCGCCGGCACTGGTGCAGATGGAGGAAACACCTGCACCTCCTGATCCCCCAAAACCGGAAGAAGACATTGTTGCTCCACCGCCAATGGAACTCGAGTCCAAGGATGTACCTAGCAGTCCTCAGCAACTGAGGACCAGTCTACCGACTGAACAACCACCGACCAATACGCCGCCGCATATGGCTTATCCCAGACCGATACATCCAATGTTTCTCGAATCGATGTATCGCGGTCCTACGGGAACCTTTCCGGGATTTCCCGGTGCGCCGCCACCCCCGAGTGCAGCCGCCCCGGAGTCCAGACTGATACCTCCGCTCCCACCCTTTGGCCCACCTCGCGGGCTTCCTTTTTTAGGCTCACTTATGAACGGGCTCAGCGGCGCTAGACCAGGAAGTGGCTTCGATTTGCTCGCCCGGCCACCGCTGAGCGCGTTCCCCGGCGTAAAACCATTTCAGGAGACCGTGATGGCGCCCCATCACCACCACCATCATCACCACCATCACCACGTCCACGGCAAGATGAAGGATCGGTACTCCTGTAAGTTTTGCGGCAAGGTGTTTCCTCGCTCGGCCAATCTGACGAGGCATCTGAGGACCCACACCGGCGAGCAGCCGTACAAATGCAAGTATTGCGAGCGATCCTTCAGCATTTCCAGCAACCTGCAGCGACACGTCCGGAACATCCACGACAAACAACGACCGTTCAAGTGTCCACTCTGCGAGAGGTGCTTCGGCCAGCAGACCAATTTGGACCGACACCTTAAGAAGCACGAGGCCGACGACGGTAGCGGCGTAGTCTCGGTTGCCGACTCGCCTGGCAGTAGCAACGAAAACGAGCGGGAGGACACGTATTTCGACGAGATCAGGTCTTTCATGGGCAAGGTTACTTACAGCGGAGAAGGTGGATACGGGTTACCCCATCCGGCTTATATTCCCAATCGACTACGGGAGATGAACGAGAGTAAGATGGAGGTCGAGTACGACGAGGACGAAGATAGCGAAGAAGGTGCGTCTCCTCTAGAAGAAACGGACGGACTGTCGCCGATCGAGGCGAAGAAGTCACCGTCGCCCTCGCAGTACGACTTGAAGCTTAGGGAGAAGCAGGAGCTGCTCAATAATAACACTGCGGAGCCAGTGATCGAGATCTCAACATAGCCCAGAGGTCGAACCGGGTGATTTGCGTTTCGAAGAAGAGCTCGTTTTCCCTTAATGTAATGTATAGAATCATTTGCGAGTAACCGTTCCGTCTCAGGACTCTCGACGATTTTGACGGTGTTACTTGGAGAAATAACGTCCCGACGCGCAGGACCCTATACCTTTAGCTTAGAATAGTCTGCCGATACACTTCAACTTTGCAGAACATCGATACTTGCACTTTCACGAGACAAACGTATTTTCCAGTTATAATAATGCGGATTATTCTCCGGTGATGATACCGTAAATTTTTATGAAAGACAGCCGACAGTGATAATTACAATTACGTCAGTATACTCATTCTCCGGAGAAGTTTTCGAGGAATATAATCACAAAGAATTGAAACCCCAATTATACTTGTAAAACACAACACACGTGCTCTAGAAAAGAATGCAAAGAACTCAGCGAATGAAATGCCTGAAGACTTTATTGACGCAATCCTTTTTTACGCTATACATTTGTTTGCACTAGGCATCAAGAACAACAAAAGGACCAGTTAGCCTTCTTCCTTCACACACACACACACACAAACACAAACACATACATAGATACACCCATCAGAAGCTCTTCTATCACCTAGTTCTATAGTTTCTACAGATTCGTTAAATGAATATATAATACGCGCACATAAAATTAAATAATTACTACCTTTCCTCATCCCTCTTTGTCCTTGGCATCGATTGAAAGAAGCGCGCGATATAACATTATTTATTACTATTATTAACAGAGTTAATTTATCGTTATTATTACATCGTCGCTCGGCAAAGAGGATCGTCGTATACGTCATAAGCATCGAACGATTTACAAAGATTTGTTGAACTTGCTTGCAATGTATCCACCATGATCGATAATCCAATCACACACCGACGTTTGTAAATCCTACATATATACATATATCTATGTGTGAGTTATTCTCAACCGATTTGTTTTTAACAGTGTATTATAGTATCGCGTTAAGTTACGTTCAGAACTCGCAGGATGAACTCTTCGAGTAATCGCGCAAGTTAGATTTGTTGTAAAAATCTTATCGTATAAGAGATGATGATCGCGCTAATAATCACTTCGATCGTTTTCAATCTTGAGGATTGTCCGAAAGTTTTATTAGAATATAGCTGAAACAAAGATTATGTAATATTAGCAAGAGTGAGACGAAACAACGAGGAAAAAATTCCATTTTTGATGCGGGATTCGTCAGATAAGATATTTCGGATCTGAGTGAAACGAGGAAATTTTTTTAGCATCAGATTTGTGTATTAAAAGAAAGAAATGATGTACGAAATCATGAGAAGCGAAGAAATTCACGTGAAGAGAGAATAATGTGTAATTAAATAATTAGAAGAGAAGAAACAAAATCTTATGGCGAAAAGAACTGTGTACAAATTTCTCTATTAGGTCATATATATTAACATTTGTAAAGAGATAAGAGGAAAGATTCTTCCCCGATTTTTATTAATATATAAAAAAATATATATATATAAATATGATTTTTTCTAGGAGTTTCTTTTTTCTCGAGATCAAAAAAGTGGGACAGGAAAGAAGTCACAATTAGCGAACCATATCGTTCCTCGCGTTTTATTCACCCCCAGTAGGAATATTTAAGAAGAAACGCGTCTTTAAAACCGACGACGAGAAAGTTAAGTTAACGACGAGAGATTAAGCATACAGTATATTACATGTGTACTAAGTACGCTCGCGATTAATAAACAAAATAAATGATACAAAGAATTATATTGTCCGTTTGTAATCACCGAGAGTTGGGGTTTCACTTGTTTTTTCACGTAAAGATTTTACGAATACACATTCTACATATCTCTCTGTCTTTCTCTGTCTCTTTCTATCTCTTTCTCTCTCTCTCTTTCTTCCCTCCCTTTCCCTCTCTCTCTTTCTCCTCCATATTTCTATTTCTCTTTTATTATAGAGAATAATAAACTTATGAAGTGATTAGAGCATAAATATATTGAACGAATTACTTAAGAAAAACTATATTATACGACGCTGTCTATCTATACATATTGTATAAAAAGCATCCTGTAACTCTTCATTATGATTACTATTAAAATATTACACTTCAAGTTGTGGATTACCTAAATGTTAATGTTACCTCTGTATGTCGATTATCTCCTCTCTTTGTCTTACATTCCTATTCGATATGATTTGATAAATGATATAATTTTGATATTTTGTACGCTTTTTCTAGATTTAACAAAGACGAAAATAATACAAATAAGTGAAATAAAATAATATTATTTTTCTTACAATTAAGAGTTACATAATAGAGTTGAAGAATAAATCATTGAATTGAATTGAATAAAAAAGATATATACTCTTTTTGCATAAAAATTAAGCTGTTCTTCTCGACAATTAGAAAAAATATTATAAATATAAATAATACTTTTATACATTTATTTTATTTTTAAGAAAAATATGATATAAAGTGAACATACTTCTTCAATACTCACAATCAGTTTACTGACTTGTGCTGCGCTCTAAGTGTTACATACATGCATTTGAGAAACAATTTTGTATTAAATAAATTATAAATTTCATCAAGAAACTATTTAAAAGTAACGCAACGATAATAATTTACTTGAGTTTGACTATTATTTAAACAATTACAGAAAATTATAAAGTGCAGAGATTTTCTTTATCAACGATAAATAATATTTGTTCTAAGATATACTCCAACATTCGATTCATTTTCAAGACACCAGATTACGCTTCATTCTACAATTCTCACATTATAATTAATAACAATTTATTTTATAGAAAAAAATACAATTTTATACATTATAAGAAGAAAATAAATGCAAGCAATTATACAAGTTTCTTCATTTTTAATGCAATAATAATTGCTCTCATAAGTATTTATTATTAATTTATCTATTTTTTAATTTCTATTTTGACACAACAATTATTTTTTACTATTATAACTTATCCTTATTATTAATTTTATATTATAATTTTGATTTAACAACTGCTCAGTTTTTAGAAACGGGCAAATAAATGTTGCTAAAATGAAGAAAATCTCGAATAGCTGTAAACGAGTTAATTAATGTATGGCCTGGCGTTGATTTAATGAAGATTGAACTTTGTCTGTGCAGATTTATATGCGGGGTACTTTTGCTTGAATCGATCCTGCGACGCCCACTCGAGAGATCCGAGATTTGTATTGTATTATTATCGTATACGCCATTCTCGCGATCCCATTCAAATCTATCTGACTGAACAATAACGTTCACACGTGCGCCACTTAAACTCTTCTATCGTTGAATCGTCAAAGGAAACAATAGGTAAATGCGCCGATTAATTCGACGTTATAATAGTTATCATAATTTATTATAATAGTTATCACTCTAATTGTATCATTTTATTGAGTTTACCTTGTATAAATAAATACGTGAGTTATTTCTAGATTATGATGCGCGGTAAATTAATTAATTCGCGACCAACGCGAAGTTTTATTTAAATTCATAAAAACGAAATAATTTTTATCTTTGTTATATCGAATATATGCATATAATTACTAGTTATCATTCAATATGCAATAAAATATCACATTTTTTCGCATTCTTGTGCCATATTTATAAATGATGTGATGCAGAAGGTGATAATAATATTATTGCAAAAAGATACCGCCGAAGAAACTTGAATATAAATACACTGCTTCAGATTTTAATAAGCTGTAAGATCGAACTAATATGCATATTGATTTACGCAGTGAAATTATATTTAAGTTACAAACAATATTCGAATTCTTTAGATATTAATTACCCGAATCAAAATCTAAATATTATTGGACATAATATATATGTATTTTATTATACATTTTGTTTAGATGAATATAACGTTGTGATGGCAAAAGTGAATGTAGTTTGTACAAAAAAATATATCGACGATCTCTCTGCAAACAATTTCATGAAATTCCACTGGGATTCGATAAAAAACTCTTCTTAGGTATTGCGTTCATTTATGTCAATGAGCAAGAAATGCACGTCGATCGAGCTTGCAGCTTGATTCGATCGCAAAAAAAGTGTGTCTTAATCAACGAAGTTGTAAAAAGCTGACATTTACGTCATGTAACTCGAGACCGAGACTTCTTCGTCGCGCTAATGAAGGGTATGAAAAGGGTAATCAAAACAGAGACGATATGATAGAGAAGAGAAAGTAGAAGTCAGATTTTGTTAGCATGCAAAAACATAAAAATGCACACAATTTGTTTATACAATTTATATTTATATCAAATTAACATAAAATACAAAATATTAATATAATAAAAATGTTTTCAGACGTCTAAGTTAATGGATAGAAAATGCATAATGGATTCTTCTCTTTCCTCATTTGCAAGAAGCGATGCAGGGAGCACTGATTAAGAAAAAAAACTAATTGATTGTATATACCCAAAAGTATTGATAGCTTCTCTGATATCTCAATGGTTGTGTAAACTAAAATGCAAATAAAAAAAAATATAACTAGAAACGGGACAAGAGAAAAGATTTCTTGTTACGAAAAGGAGTCAGCTTTTGTAGACAGAAGTATCGATGATAGCTTTACCGAAGAAATTGTATTCTCGAAGTAAGAGGACTTTATACTGTAAATTTTTTTATAACAAAGATTAAGTATTTCTAAAATATCTTCTCCTAAACTAACAATAAAAATATATTTTTGTTAATAACAAATATAATCGTATGTTTTTTTTATGTGGACCTATATATTTGGTGTTATATAGTATATTATTGCAGCAACGCATATGTGTAATAATTTATGTGCTTTCTTTACTTGTATGTTGTAAAATAATATACCTTATTAACGTAAAAGTAAATCTCATTTCGTCTACATTTTTATAAATTAGGAATATCTAATACCAATCTTTAGAGGATTCTCATTTTAAGCTAAAAGGATTTTTGATGCCTATTTTAGAACAGAGTAATATTCCAAAAATAAATGGGAAAATTCTTCAAATTACATAGTTTTGTCAGTGCAGGGATATCAAAGATCGCTTCGTATCACAAAATATCAATTCGAGACAAGCAAAAGAGCAATCTACAACGGCAGCGATGAGGCAATAATTCTACGCGCCACCGAACATTATTGCCAGCGTGACATTGACAAAAACAACCGAGCTAATCACGAAATTCCGCGCGCTCTCGTCGCAAGTTTAGAAAGTGAAAAAAATCATGCCGACCGGATTGACCTAGCGATTAGCGGTACAAATCGATAGGTATATGCTCGCGAATCGTTAATAGCGTGCACCGCTATCTATTATCTATCATCGCATCTTGACGAGGGTTTCAATTAACCTCGCGGAATTTTTTACGCTGATTTTTTTCAATCGGGTTCAGACCCAGAGGAGAAGATCTCGCGACAAAACGATCGAATCTATTTCCAACGCGTGAAAAAATTTCGATAATATCCAAACGTGGATCTACGGTCGCACGAATGAAGTCGCTGCAGATTTCTTCTTTTAGGATACCAAAGCGAGCGGTTGATGTCGAGAGCAAGCTGAATAATTTTTCTTACTTCTCACATCTCGGCACGTCTCCTTTCATTTTAACGCATGATCGCGCACCCGATCCGACCGGCAACAACACACCCATCGATCTCTAATCTGTGTACGCAGCCGTAGATCCAGCTCGTAGATCATAGAAAACGAACAGAGTCCGCTTGAGAGATGCACGATGTTACTCCGGCTATGATGACCGATAAATTGTGCCCCCGGGGACGAAATAATTTTCATCCGAATGAATTATAAGTATAATAGCACTAATTTAGCGAATCAGTTTGGAGAAAAAGTTGCCAATATATATTGATTGCCTTATCACTACGATCAACTCATGTATGCAACGTGATTCTCAAGAATTCTAGATTCTAGTCTTCGAATCTGATTTATGTCCAATGCCGTCGATATCCTTGAATACATTTGCGCGATATTTAATTAACTGTTTACGGGAGATGAGGCTCGTGCGCAAACAAAAAAAAAGAAAAAATGCCGCTTCATACATACCATTGTTACAAAAAAGTTGTCATGATCAACATCTTCTTTTACGTTATATAATTAACTCGATCGCCGCCACCTACGACAGATGTCCTCGAAATGCTGAACGAAGGTTCTCCATATTTTTTTCTCGCGGAATTATAAATCACATATAATGATTTATAAAAAAGGCGGATTTCAGCTTCTTTCTTCATTCAGAGCCTGCAAAGGATGATTAATGGCCATTTGATCCACGTGTTCTAGATTGGGTTAGGCTAGGTAAATACTTATGCAGGAAGGACATGCATATCCGCAGACAAATTCTGGAAGATTATCTCTTTTTCTTTCTCTTTTCTAAAAGACACCTAAGTAAATCACTTTCACTGTTTGGTGAAGTTCAAACTTACCAAGGTAGCCTCTGGTTCTCGCCATGTTTTTCTTTCTACCGCTGAATTTCCTCGCGGAATAAAAGAGAAAGAGAGAAAAAATTTTCGATCAACATCAGATGACGGGTATATTCAACGCATGTTTTCACGCTTCACGATAGACGTATAATTAAAAGCCGATCTTGAGAAAAAGATGCTTTTGAAAAAATATATTCAAGCTAATTTGCTAAATGCGACGATGATTGACTGATGTAATCCGGTTTTCGAATTAACGACGATTTATTTGTTTCATTCGCCGATTAATAACAAGATGACGTTTTTGCCTCGCGGATATGTCGGAATCAAATTGGAATCGGGTATAAATAACCATCGCGCGAAGCGATTAGATATAATCGCGCTTGGATGTTTAATTGCGATCAGATACGCGAGAAGACACTTACATTTTTTGCCGAGAAAACTCGGTCTAATTCGATGTTTATCGTGATACCAATTGTATATCTTCC